CTAACCGACGCGAACCTTCAAGTATAGTCATTAATCCACGAAGCGTTCCACATTCTCGATCCAAGCCACGACTCCACTGTTTTGCTTAATTCTAGCAGTGACCTTCCCTTGAAGCACTCTTACTCAACGATAAGATTGAAACAGATTGAACCCTCAATCAAACAAACACACACACGCACACACGCACAAGGGCCCGAAGTTTTGACTGCCCAGCCCAGTCCAGTGGAATTGCTGGCTACAGCCAAAACCACTACAGACCGAAGTCTGGTTTAGGGTTCCTTCGAGTGACCTCTATCAAGGCCGAAGTACATGAAAATGAAAGGAATTACCACGTTGGACCCTGCAAGGCCTGATCCCCAAACCAACACCCGAAAGCCCTAAACCCCAAGGCTTTCGAAGCCCTGAAGTCCCTCAGCCTCCTGAAATTAGTGAAAACAACCTACACATAACAGTCCCAACCTGTCCCAGGCCGCTGCACCAGCGATGTTGGCACTGCCGGCACCCGCGGCGACCCCAGGGGCGCCCGGCGGAGTGGCGTCGACGTTGGACTTCCTGGCACCTCGGCTATTGGTTTCATTGATGTTGAAGGTTCCACAAGGGTTGTGATAAGGGGTACTAAAAGGGTCACCAAAGGGGTTCTGGGTTTAGTGCATGTGGGAGACTTCATGCGGTTTCTATAGTACAAAGCAACTAGGTCGGGAACCTTGTAGCGTCGTCAGCATTTATAGGGATTGTACGGGATTCTATTACGAACTATATATGCAGACCTGCTACATGAAGGTTTGTTAATGCTAGGTTCCTTGTATCAAAGATCCGGAGAGGCATTTGGGACCTACATCAGTAGTGTCCAGCAGTTCCTGAAGTTCTCAAACATCTAGGAAGATATTGTTGGTTCCAGAATTTAGTGATCGAAAACGTCAGCCTTCCAGTATGTAAGGACCCCTCAATGGACACTTGACGCAGAGACGCAAACATGTTCCTTACATTACGATGGAGGCTCTCTCAGTAAATCGTTGTTGCACTTCAGAAAACTGCAATGAGGCTTCTGAGTTTAAACCATTTGCTCTCCGCCTGACGGAGACGCGGGGCCGGGGCATCTTTTCCCCCTCTTTTCGCCTGAGCCGGGTGGGGGGGGTGGGGTTGGGGGGGGGTTGGTGGCGCAGCCGCACCCTGCAGTGGTGGGCCTTTCCTTTTGACGGGGCTTTCGATCCTGGGTGGGCCTTCGTCCATGCGCCTGACAGTGAGAGACTCAATTTTCCTCCTCGCACCTGAGTTGGAACGCCCGCCTTCAGTGTTTTCCCATCTCGGCTTCGCTTTTGTCACAAATTCAACCCACGGTGCTCATCAGGTTCTCTGAGTGGGTTAACAGACTCGCTTAAGAAAGATCTGGTTTCTACAAGGATCTTGCTCCTACTCGTGAAGACAGGAGGTTTATGAATCTGAGCTTCAATAAACCTGATGCATGACAGCTCTTCACCGGCACGCATGCAACAGAAGCTTGAATCTGGATTCCAACCGCTAGCTCTCTCTACCGCTTCAAGCAGGGCTATTTACAGGGGGCCAACAGGGGTTAAGGGTTTCTTGCGGTACTGCTGGCCTGAGTATAAGTACCGTCAGTGGGATAATAAATAACTGCATAGGTTGCCCTACTTACTATGACATCACCCATGATGCATTAAGCTGATGCATATGGCTTCATGCCTGAAGCGTTGGTCCATCATGATAAGGTAGCTTTCACTATAGGCCATAAGGGCCATAAACATCGACCGGTTCATTGCAAGGATCGACAAAACAGATTCTAAGTGCTGTTGCATGCTACATGACGGCTTTTTGGTGCACGACTACATGGATTCGCTCGCGCAAGATTCGGGACATGAGATCCAGGAACCCACCAAACCGCAAAGCCCCAAACCTGCCCTACTCGATGATGATCTCCAGTTTAGGGTTTAGCGTCATTGAAGGATCCTGTCCATGATAAGCCCGCAGGGTTGTTTGCCGGGCTCCTGGCTGCGGTGCGTTAGAATGAAAATCGCTGGCTATTCATTAGTGTTCCTGCTTGTGGCAACAGTATTTCAGATTCCAAGCCCCAGACCCCAAGCCATGAGCTTTGAATCGCTGCGACGTGACAGGCACGCACGCGCCAACTGGTCGCCAGCAGTTTCGACGCGGATTCCATGGCACCAGGCCTGCTGCTAAGAGGCTTAAAGCTTCGTTGCAGGGGTGATCGCGTTCTATAATATATTCCGGTGTATCCTTAGCGCAGAGCCCCAACCCGCCCAACCCGAGCTTTCACTGAACCCGAAGAGCCCCATGCCCTGAACCCTGCAGCCTTGAAACCCAACACCAAGACCTCAAACCTTTACACCCCAAACCCTAAAGCTAAACCGGCTAAACCCTTAAACCCAACACCCAAGGCCCAAAGCCCGAAGGTATCCACAAGCTCCACCCAACAGCCTAAGATTCGAGTTGGGGCCGAGGCGGCCGAGACATCGACGACGGCTTCAGCCGGCAAGGCTATGAGAATTGGGGGTGGGGGTGAGGGTGAGGGGGGTGGGTGGGCGGGCGAAGGGGGTGTCTTGACATTTCGAGTTTCGAGGGTTCAAGGTTTACGATTTATATGGGTTTAGAGCATTAAAACAAGCCAAACCGCCGGGGAGTTTCAACAACATAATTTAGGGTCTTTGGACAGGAGAATCCTCCGCATAAGGACGGTTAAGCAAAAATGGCAGATGGTCGCAATACCCTATATACGTCGCCGGAGCTACTGGTATAGGCTGGAGGAATGATGAGCTGAAGCGCTTTCGGGTAGGGGGGTGGTTTAGGAACTACAAGGTTTAGGTTATACTTGTAGGGTTTCTGCAAGGCTTAGGACTGTTTATAGGGCCATTTTGGGCTTCAGGGTTCGGAGCATAGGACTTGTGGGCTGGGTTCTCAGGCTTAGGGTCGGAACGTAGTGCCTGGCCGGCACGAAAGTTTCCGCGGCTTTCTGAACATGCCTATGAATTATGCTGCGGAGAAGCGGAGAGGCCGAAGGTTCACTTGTTGTGAAACTATGCGATTATCTTGTTCTGGCGGAGAAGCCTTGTGGGACCTTGCGCGGGGACCCAGCCCCTGACATGTTAAGTTGCAGATCGCCTGGCGAACTTTTGTCCTACGGTAGTAGCGCTGAGGGTTTCAGGTAATCTAGGGCCTAGGGTCCAGGGTGCAAGGGAACGGCAAGCGGCACGCAGGCACCAAGATGGAAATTGGTGTTTCTCTGCATGCATAGCGCAGCCACCGGAAGAAGCAAAGTCCCTCACAATCGCTTTGCCCTGCCTTCTCGTGAATCTGGTATAGATTTCCTACGCAGGCTTGATTTTTTGGAAGTCCAATGCAGTATCCGCACGATTTGCCGACTTGTCCTGAGCCTCCTGAGCTGCTCTTCTCCACTGAATGAAAGGGGAGGGGCCTGACCCCAAGCCCGAATGATGCCTGCAAACCAGGGTACGTTAGGATGTATAGGGCCGAGGAAACCCTCACACCCCCAAGCACCAGAACTCTACAAGGCAATGGCTACCCTGTGCCCTCGTTGCCTCGTTTCGGTGCGCAAGATGCACAGGCGTCCTGGCCCTGAAGCAATTGGAACGCAATAGACCTGCTCGTTTTGAAGTCAGGATCCTGATCTAATGGAGAGGGGAGGGGCTCTAAGTGTCGAGGATCCATGCTGAATGCCAGACCACACGACCCAAACATTCAACAGCAATTCGGGAAACGCAACCCCAAGACCGAAGCAAAAGAAGAAACAGCTTGGTGCTTGAAGATGAAGGCGACTTCGTGAACAAAAGCCACAAGTCGGTAGAGTCATGGTAATAGAATGACTTGCCACGTACAAGTGTAGGCCTACTTGAACCCTCAAGTCTGACAGCCGTGTGACCGCACATTCTATTGTGTAATCGTATAATGTACTTTAGACTCGAGTAAACCTTCTATAAAGACTTCACCGAGCCCTTCTAAACCCATTGCAAACGCGTTACACCCCCAGATCCCAATAGTTAGCCCTGTCCGCTAACCGAGACCAAATGCACAGCTCCGAATGCCTCGTCTTTTGCATCCGAGGTTTCGCCGCCTGAGTCCCCGGGAGCTTTCGAAAGGCATTGGCGAGAGATGCGAAAGCCTAACAGGTCCTAAGGCTGCGTGGCAGTTGTGTGACATTTTGCTGCTAGGGATGTTTCTTTGAGCGCTTATGTTTCATGTTCGAGTGGCTTCTTGTTGTGCATACTCTTGTCTACAGGCTTCGATTCTGTAGGGCTCCCCGTTGCCGCTCAGCCGCGCGTGGCCTTAAGCCTTGTGGCCAAACGCGGAGACCGGTGCTCGAAATTCCCGAAGCCCAGGCCCCCAAAGGATCCGTAAAGACCTCAGGATCCCCAAAAGGTGATTATAACCCCCAATAGCAAGCCTTGTTATAACACCTCGTATAGCCCTTCTAGGATCCCTTTCGGGAATCCCCTGGATTCATATTACTTCTTGTAGTGACCCTTAGAACCCTTTAAGACACTTGTATAGAACCCTTTAAGATAAACCTTATCAAAGGTATGCGTAAGGCCGCTAGATTACTAGGCCGCGTCTGGTGGCGAAGCCGCGACCCGACTCGGCCGGGCCGCATTTGGTGATCACAGGCACGGCCTTTCGAAGCTCTTGGAGGGGATGTGAGTTTGGGGTTGAGGGTTTGAGGGCTAGGGTTTGGGGCTTAGAGATGCTAGCTCCCCCCCAGACTTCCAATATCCCGGAATTCATAGTCGGGAGCCTATTATAATTAAAGGTAACTTTCCGTCCGCCAGGGATAATTTGTAGCAGGGTTCTGCGCCGTAGCTTGAACGCTGTGTCTTCAACCTTCAGCCTCTCACTGCATCAGCGCTTGGGGTGAGACGTCTACCTTCTATGTAGAAGCCCTCACGGCGAACTACTCCTTCCTTAGCGATGCAGAACCAGAGCCCGAAGTTCCGCATCTGTGAGGATCTTCCCAGCAATGGACTCTAACCATGGTGTAACCAATAAGTACACAACACGCCAGCCTTGTTCTTATAGACACCGCAGCCTTGGATGCGCCCATGAGAGGCAAATGTTTCGATCCGTACTTTCAGCACCAAAGGATACGATAGCACAGTAAACACAAGCGCAAACAGAAGGGGGCGGGAAGAAGATCCAAATCCTGGTTGAGTGCGACTTCGTGGCCAGCTCATGGAAGTCAATCGTTGCTGTGTGGTTTCAAATCGCGTCGGAGACATGGACGGATGCATTGTCCTTTGCACTCATCTCCTGAAGTGAAACGTAGCTGGTGTGAAGATGCCAGCAGGCAAATTGAGGACCGCTGGAGAAGTCACCTCCTTGCAGACCATTGGACCCACTGTTTTCTGGAGGTCCTCATAATCATAGGACAAGTCCTCCGCCGTGCATGCCATGATGCAGCGTACGGCAAAAAGAAGTGAGTGAATGATGCTTTTAATCACCAAAGGCTTCTGCTACACGAAGACAATACAAGGCGCCAAACATATGAAGGGCACAGCAGGGCAACATGAACATCATGAGTAAGAGGCTGTCTTCCGATGTCGCGGCCTGCATCCGAATCCATTGACCATCAACAGCCAAGTGACACGTGACGCGTTTGCGGAGACTGTCGCTATCGTCGTACAACACCAGATGCCGATGGCGCGAGCGCCATGTAGTGCCAGCATCGTAACTGAGCAGAACCAACAAAGCACAGACCAAACAACGAAGCAACCAACCAACCAAAACCAACCAACAAATCGACTCCATAGCTCCGGGGCCCGGTGATATTGGTCAGTTTAAATTGGGTTATTTGTTTAACCTTCTAGGTCCTAGGTTCTGGGTTAGACACAGCATCTATCGAGGACTGGCTTACAGGATCAGACTATAAGTGCAAGGAGGCTTAGCGACTGTGTACATTGAAAATGCAGGAATGAAGGGGTCGGGTTACAGTGCTTAACCGGACACTCTGGGTCTCTCCGCCCCCTTCAGAGGTTCAAAAAATCGAAATCGCGTAGGGAATCCGATGAGATTCCCGAACTAAACTCTACTTAGGCTACTTGAAAGATTGGGGTCTCCAAACCTTATCAGCTGTCAACCCTTTCCAGCTCCAAACCATGAACCCCCCTATCCTTCCGACCCCCCAATACCACGCCTTTTGGAGAACCCTCAGCCCAAAACCCTGAAGCGCTGAACTCTAGAAGCTTTATGAGACCTCAAGCCCTGAACTGACCCATAAACCCATAAGTCATCATAAGCTTAGTTTTTTGCGTTTGGGGTTCAGGGCTTAGGGATCAAAAGCCCCGTTTAAATTTGCTAACTTCAGAAAAGCGCTCCAGCCGTCAGTTGCCCAAGGACCCAAAATGCGCCTTGAAACTCCTTGAACTTTGGAGCCTTGACAAGCAGAGTAGGGTTTTGGGATACAGGATAGTAGATGTAGAAATCTAAGGAACCCTAAGGAATAGTACTGGTAACTTTTCAGAGCCCCCAACCCTGAAGCCTAACCTTGGGGTCTTACTCCCCAAACCCTATGAAGCCCTGAGCCAGGCGTGCAAAGTCCTCCTCCGCCGCCGCCATCCACGGCGGCCAGACCGACGTTGCCCACGCGACAGGCGATCGAGCAGCAGATCAACCTACAGGCCTTGTTTATGACTACAGTTGTTATCATCATTGTTGCCGGTTCAATAATCGGGTATTTGTTCTTGCTCTCGCACAATTACTCTCTTCTCCTTCTCGGTACTGCTTTTTCTAAATCAGTGTCGTAATGAGCATGATTTGAAGCACGGGTAGTTCGGCTGCTGTTGTGCAAGCTTCGGTTTTAGTACGGAATCTTGTCTTCTTCAAAGCATCATCATAATGCCGGGATGCCGAGACCGCAGGCTGTTCCACTCTGGTCGGCTTGTGCTTTCGACGGAGACATTTGTGGCAATACGGGCTTTGGAAGGAAGGGATGCTCTGTTCGTTGGAGGTTTATTCATCGCAACTGATGTTGCACTTGGGACGCCGAAAGCCCACGAATCCCTCGGTCGCCAGGACACCTTGACCCACATGCAGGACACCATGCGCCGCCCCTTGGACTTCGAGCATCTGGTGAGGGCTCTAGGCCAAAGGCCCTGAACGACCTTCTGGTTTGGGCTTCGCTGATTACTGAATACAAGCAGCAGGGACAGCAAGAGGCTGCTGCGGGATCTTAAACTCATGAGTCTCTGGTAGATCCTTTGAGCCCCTAGGGCCCTAGCACCTGAAACCCTAAAGCCCTCAACCCCGAGGCAAAGTTCAATCTCCTGGAAGAAACCGCCTAGGCATGGATGACGTGGAGCCCACAGTCTCGCAGTAAGAGGAGGCAGGGGCTCAGGGGCTCTCTCTGCAGTGCTCTGTGACGCGGAGGTTTTTTGGAGCGCGGTTAAGGTTCAAATGACATCTCTCAAAAAGTCGGAAGGGGGACCCAGAGCGATGAGTCATGGGAGTCTCGACCCCGGCTTTCGCTTGAATCTTCGGAGTAGGGCAGCAAGGCCATGAGGGCCAAAGAAGGCACCCAAGCATAAGGATCCTGTCTGTGGGCTCGAAATGTGCCCTGAGAGGGGGGTTCCAAGAGCCCTTCGGTGCGATAGATCCTGAGCCGAAGGCCCAACAACAACAACAACAACAACAACAACAACAACAGCAACAACAGCAACAACAGCAACAACAGCAACACTACCAACAGCAACAGCAACAACCACAACAGCAACAACAGCAACAGCAACAGCAACAGCGACAGCGACAGCAACAGCAACAGCAACAGCAACAGCACCAGCACCAGCACCAGCACCAGCACCAGCACCAGCACCAGCACCAGCACGGACCGCCAGAATTAGGAACAACAAAAACTCTTCCGCCCCCTTATATAACCTATAGAGCCCTCCCTCGAGCCGTTGCAGACGTCAGGTTCCCGCAGAAAATTCCACCATCCAAGAGCCGGCGCAGCGGCGCAGCGGAGCGCGCAGCGAGGAGAAGGAGGCGATTGGGGTTGTCTTCTAGCCAGCTCGCCTGCACAGGCTTAAGGTTTTGGGTTTTGGGTTTAGGTATGTATGCACTTACGATATAGAAGTATGTTGTGATACCTTCTAATTCATGGATACTGAAGCTGTGATCCATGAATTATGACTTATGACGTAGGCTTTAAGGTTGTTCTATTTTCGGTGTCAAGAGTGGCAACACCGCGATCAAGCGTTGGATGTGTTTGTTGTGTTTTTTTGTACATGCCCGCCCATTCTGATTTTGCATCGAATCACGGGGTTTGAACAGGAAATATTGCACTTCCAATCTTTTTCGGGGAGTACTTTTTTTTTGGCGCCACGGTATTTGAAGCTGTCGTTTTCTGCTCCAGGAGGAGTTCACGGGGCACGCCGAGCAGGACAAGAGCGGCAAGCTGGACAAAGGGGCCACGCCGTGAGCCCTGGCTTGCGCAGTTCCGGACCTCTGGGATCTACCTTGAACCTGCTGGCTCTCTGCCCGGGTGAGAGTGTTTCCAAAGCTTTCAGAGGACATGCCAGAGTCCCATACCAACCCTTAACGCTGAATCCCAAAACCTAAACGCAATGCCCCCGAACCCAAGCCCTAACACCCTGAAGTTCTAAAGTCCTAAAGCGCGCAGATCGGGCATCCGGGATGTCGCAGCTTCGCGAAGCTTCGATATTCAGAGACAGCCTCCAGGATTTTCGCTCCCAGCCCAGGCAACAGGAAGCTGAGTCGGGGCACTGGCTTAGGGTTTAAGGTTTAGAAAGCGTTATCCTTTGCCGGTGGTTTTGCCGTCCGTGGTAAATAAGGAGCTGGTGGCTTCGTAGCACTGGCACGAGGATCGGGGTCCAGGGCATTGGTACGAGGTTTGGTGTCTCCAAAAATCAATTGTCTCCCTTTACTAATGCCATATAGACTTTAGTAAAATATACCCCGAAGCCATCTTCCGTTTAAGGCCCGCGCATCCCGTTGCCCAGCCGAAATCAGATCAGGGCTGCTGCATTCGATTCTTTGGGAACTGAGCCTGTTTAGGGCACTTAATTTTATGGTTAGGATCAGTTATATATCGGTGGGTTTCTACATTAGGGTCTCTTTTAGGGTCCTTTTTATACGGGTGCCGACTATATTTGGGATCGAACCTAGTTTACTACCCCTGTGGAAAAGTAGGTATCCTAAAACAGCTGTGTGTGGCTGTTCATTTTCATATCAGCCCGTCATTTCAACCCTTAAAACCCTGAACCTGAAGCCCTTGACCCTAAACCAAACCCTAAACCGGGGTTGGAGGGGTCCAGGGTCAAAACGCGTGCAGGAGCTGCAGCTACAAAAAGCCCGAAGTCGGACTTCTGGGGTTTGGAAGAGTTTAGGGTTTAGGGCCATGTCTTTGATCATCCATGCTGCGGGATGGAATAGCCTGCATGACAGAACGGAAACCCTGTCCCTTTCCTCGTAGTCCTGAGATTTATAAAATTTGTTAATTAATTAGATCTGATCTTTATATAGCCCCCTAAACCCTGTTATACGTACCAAGGCCCATATATTACGCCCACAATCACCAGCTCTTGTTTCTTACGCGGCTTGGAGTCGAAAGCCATGTCTCACGAACAGTGGCGTCGTCCAGAACGAAAAAAGGAACGCGAGCCTGTGCTGGGTAGTTTCTGGCGGCTTTGGCACGAGCCTTGCGCAGGGCACATAGGCCCTAAACGGCTAAGCCCTAAAGCCACAAAACCCTTCAACTCGAAGCCCCCCAAAGAACACAAAGCTCTGCAACCCTAAACCTCGGGTGAGGTTGAGTGTTTCCGGTTCGGGCCTCAGGCCGCATTGGAAATGGCTTGCGATGCTCTTGCAAAGAGCGACTCTGTCAGAAGAAGCAGCGAGCTAGACCTTGAAGGGCCCCTGGCCCTGCCAGCCTAAACAAACGTGGTGCAGAGTTTACAAGGTTGTATACATGGCAGCTGCTGTAAGATCGACTCGCCTGCTCCTTCATCAAGAAATCTGCAACACCTAGAGGCCAAAGTTGTTCATGGGCTTCAGAATCTCCCATGCGGGCACCCTGCTGTTCCATGCCAAGTCGCGAAAGTCTTCATTCAAGCATGAGCTACATGGAGGGCATAAGGGTTCCGCTTGAAACTCTGTAAGTGGGGTTGCTTGTTTCTACTCGTAGGTTTCTGCTGGGGCCATCCAATCCGAGCTTCGTGTTTCCTTTTCGCCCCATGAAGGGCACGGAACGCCCGGCACTTCACGCCCTCACCCCCAAGGAAAGCTTCTACAACGCCAAGAACAAAGCCAAACAAACCCCCACGAAGGCCCAGAGATACAAACCTGGACATTCCGGTTTCGGATCGCTGAACTTTTACATTTTCACTTGGGCCATGGCCTACGCCGATGCAAACGGCGCCAAGGCACACTTCTGCCAGTGCAGATCGCTTTAGGGTTTAGGACCGTTTAGGACTTACGCTTCAGGGATCAGGGAACCCAGCGGGCAGGGAACTTACAATCGGTATGACCTCATCAAAAAGCCGATGGTCTATGGCAGTTTTTGTTTTTTCTATGCTGGTTGGCTTTACTGCTGCTGCTGCTGCTGCTGCTGCTGCTGCTGCCAGGTAAGAGTGGTTTGAGCTTCTTATACTACTTGGATCTTGCTATCCGAATTGCCTAAATCTTTCTCGCGCGCGATACCCAGGAGAACGGATCCTTTCTACAAAAGCCACGAAAAGTAGTACTACTGTCCCATAGGCCGCTAAGATCCTGTCCCTTTCTGCCGTTCTTTCCGAGATGTTCAGCTGCCGGAGACATGCCCGGGGGTCCCAACCGCAAGTATGCTAAGACATACTCAAAGTTGTAATGATACAGCTTATTGAATACATGGTCTGAAGCGTGGAAAAGCATTAACTAGCGGTGGGTCCGTACGATATGTTTGCTTATCATATAGACTATCCATTTATCGTCCCTATAAATAAATATATATATATATATACACACACACACATAGCACAACCCCAAAGCCTAAAGCCCAACGTGTTAAAAGTTGACCCCGTGCCACGAGGCCTTGGATGAGCCTCACCAGCTCCTGTACGACCGCCTGTCAGGCCACCAGATAGCAATTTTAAAGGGTTTAGGGTTTAAGGTTTAGGGAACCCGGTCCTAAGCACCTATATGGAGGATACTCGCCCCAACCATAATGATAATTCCTATTACAGAAACCCTGCATTCTACTATACAGGTACTTAAAGAGGAATATGGGCGTAGGGACGATAGGAGGATAGTGTTTCCCCACGAGACATTAGCATACAGATCCTATATCTGGTATACGAAACGCTCCAAAGAATACGTGGATTTTCAGAGTGAGCTCCGTGATCTTGTTGGGCCCTTGAGGTAAAGGGTCAAGTGTGTCAGAAGTGGGTTTCACAGCTACCCTCATTAAAACCCTCCTTTTGGAGGGCTCTTCGCAACTTACTTGCTGGGTTGATTACTAGATTCCTTTTTTCTTGGTATGTCCACTCAGGGCTGGGCTGCGTTCTCGCATCTATGCAATCGAATTGCGACTTTCATCCACGCGCAAAGGGATGTAATTCTTACGGTTCTTGCACACAAAACTAACTGATTTCAAGCTTGTGCGTAGGTGTTAGCAGGATGGATCTTCAGATCCTATCTGGGAGCTTCAGGCAACGTACGAGCCCCGACAAACTTGCTAAGTTTAGAACCCTACGATAAAGACCCCTCGACCCTGAATTTCAAGAAGTCTCACTTGGCAGCACCAAACCTAGCGCCTTCGGCCGAAGGCCTCAGGACTAGGGATCTTAGCAAGTAAGTTGTATATATGGCGTCAGAATGGGATGATCCCAGCTCAGGCATTTATAGCGCCATGTTCTTCGCTTGTGCTAGGCATAAAAGTCCCTGGAAGGTAGCCCCTTAGCCCCGAGTGCGGCGTTTATGACCCCAAGTAGGCCATATGCGGCCCTTACGCAGCTGATCCTTAAACCCGAAGCCCTAAACCCTGCACCCTAAGCCATGAACGACAGCCGCAGGCAGGGCACTCTGTGCTGTGTGCCTTTATCTACAGGGATCGGCCAATACAGGGGCCAACAAAAGGATGTGAGGACAATATAGGACAATCATAAGTCATATGTCTTTTGCGGGCCTTTAGGTTAGGTACGCCCTACTCATGGAGTGTGGGGGGCGTTTACAGTAGTTACGCAGCAAAACCCTAAGCCCCAAAATCCGAAGATCAAGACTTCGAGACCCCGAACCCGGAGCCACAAGCCTGACATTCAAAGCCTCAAAGCGCGAACTAAGCTGAACCTCGAGCCCAACCGGCTCCCTGCATAGGCCTTCTTCAAG